CCTTATTTTCAAAGGCACTTGGTTGCATTATTGGCTTAAAGGAGGTAGGGGATAGTAAGATTACATTTAGAAAGAACATGTATTTCCTAAGGATCACTTTTTCTTAAAACTTCAATTGAAATAATGCAGGTAAAAGATGACACTCAAATTAATGACATCCCTGGAAATGTTGTCATCTCAACCCACTGCTTTTAAGGAGAAGAGATGGCTTCGAGTACTTACAGACCTTTAAATAAACATAAAACAAAAACTGATAATCACTCTTTGAGAGGGCTGGTGGATGGTAGCAGATGTGTAATGGTTTACGTAAAATCCATTTTTATCCCCCCAAAAGCTTACAAAAATCCTTTTTAAAAAATCAATTGGTATTTTGTATAATCTGCAATTAACTAAACATTTCTCTTATAAAGCATTCGCTCACCTTGAAACACTAAATTTTAACATTTGCCAAAACATCTGACTTAGACCTTCAAACTATTTGTGAAGCAATTACGTGGCATACAGATTTCTTTTAAAAAGGTCCTTGAGCAATTATTTGATTGAGCAAAAAAGAATAATGACAACAACACTGCACCATGAGGTCTAATTAAAATCGTGGCTTTGGTCCCATTAAAACCTTGTAGATATCAGAATCACAAATACCTTCTTCAAGGGTCTCAGGAATTTTCATTCTAGCAAGATGAGATAGTAAAAGAACTCTGGCCTTCAGGCTATATGGGCAGGTAAGTGGAGGCTCATTCTTCTTTAAATTAATGCTGCCAATTTCTCTGATTAGCTAGAGTAGATAAAATAATTATTTAAAAATATATACTAAAAAAAGCATTCACTTTAATACTTAACTGTTCATCAAGGAATTTGGAAGATTGGCCTAACCTGTGGTATTAGAATATTATCTGTTGGTCTGCTTGTGGCATCTTTATTATACTGAGGATCAAATTCAGAAGCTCCAGCCAAAACCATGATGAGACCTGAGAAAACAAAAGAAATATAAAGGTAAATAAATAAATTTGCTCATCTATTAATTTCTTCTCCTGAGATATTTCACTAGTTTAAAAGCAAAGGACTTTCTAATTATGTGCAATGCTAAAAATCATCTGAACTCCACTACTGATAAAAAAAGAAAAATCTCACTTTTAATTGAGATCTCACTTTTAATCTCACTTTTAATCTCACCACAGTAATTGGTAGTGGGGTAAGATGCTTATCATGGAATGAAGGAGCACTATTTAGGCATTGTCATTGGAGTTGTTTGAAATACTAACTAGTGATTCTGTTACCAGTGTTTTGTATAGTTCTGTAATCATCTCCATTTTTACCAGTTATCAAGGAACACATTTTTTTTAGGCTGCATATCAAAAATGGTAAATGGATGGTCTTACTAGTTAACGATTATAAATGAAAGAGCCTTTCTCTGTCTCACTGTCTCTGTTTTTCCCTTCCTCTTATTTATTTCTTTATTTTTGAGACAGTCTCTCTATGTCGCCCTGGGTAGCGTGCCGTGGCGTCACAGCTCATAGCAACCTCAAACTCTTGTGTAGTATTACCTATCACAAGTAGATAGAAGTATACATCAAATAAAAGGGCAAAGTAACTGAAGGCATTAAAATCACTTAAAATAGCATGTTTCTAGACCTCTAGAGTATTAATATAGCATGGGATGCTAATAATTGCTGTGTATAAAGGGAAGGGCTGGCTATGGTTAAGTATGGCTGGAAATAATGGGTTAAACAAGAGTTAAAAGTTTCTTTAGTGCGTGACTTCTCAGAGCCTTGGGTAAATTAAAATACACTATAATTTCCAGAATATTTTATTATGAAACCTGGATGGGTTTATGGAAATATACGCAATTGAACCACATGACCTGCAGCCATATATTAATATTCCCTGTTAGCCTATACAAACTCTTTTTTTTGGAGACAGAGTCTCACTTTGTCGAGTGCTGTGACATCATAGGTCACAGTAACCTCAAACTCTTGATCTCAAGCCATTCTCCTGCCTCAGTCTCCAAAGTAGCTGGGATTACAGGCACATGCCACAAAGCACTGCTAGTTGTTATAGATGGGGTCTGTCTCTTGCTCAGGCTGTTCTTCAACTCCTGAGCTAAAGCAATCCACCCACCTTGGCCTCCCAGAGAGTTAGGATTACAGGTATAAGCCACAGCACCCAGCTGCCTATAAACTCTTTAAGGACGGGCACTAGAGTGATTAATTTCAGCATATGGCAGAAAATATATATAACGTATTCACAAAAGGCAGTACAGCATAGAAGTTAGGTGCATAGTCCCTGGAATTTTGTCACTTCCTAGCTAAACGACCTAGGGCACTAGTCTTCACTTCTTTTGTTGTATGTATGTATTAATTAGAGATGGAGGGGGTCTTGATATTGCCCAGGCTGGTCTTGAACTCCTGGCCTCAAGCATTAAGCCCAGCTTGGTCTCCCAAAGTACTGGGCTTATAGGTTTGAGCTACCACACCAGGCCTCTTCTCTCTCTGTACCTGTTTCTTCATATATACCTTATTCACAGCAAGCACAATATATGTGTGAGCCTACTCCTAGCCCAAATGTTTTCATGAAAACAATCATTCCTAAAACAGCTAACATAACCAAGGACATATAAACAAATCCCCAACTAGGCAACATTTTTCTGACAGAATTAACTGTGTAAGGCTAAGTACCACCCTCAGAAATGAAACAAACCAACAACACTGAGGCAAGAAACACATCAAAACATTATAAACCTGAAACATTTTCACAAGGGAATCAGTTCCTATATTAACATTTTGATCCTATGTAAAGAATAATAATACATGTATATAAGGAAAAGTAATATTTACTCATTCCTCAAAAATATGTAAGATCTGTTCTCACACAAACATAATGACTCATAATGACTCTGAGGAGTTTCTCTCTCATTACCAAGAAAATTAACAGAATCGCCAAATCTAAAATTCAGAAAAGTTCATTTCCATTTTGGAACAAAAATGCATTCTCCAGTGAGGCATAATTTAAAACTTACATTTTTATTTTTTAAAGGTTAGAGATGGAGAAAGTGTCTATTATTTCTACAAAGCAGTCATTCTGAAAAGCAACGCTACATATTTAAATATAAACTATAAAGTCAGCATTGTGTGATCAAATAAAGTATTTAAAATTGTACTCATTTCTGTCTTAAGCAATTTTTTTTTGACTCATTCAGACTCAAGGTGAATTCCTAAGCAATATTTTAATAGAACTTGGAATGATATATTCCAACAGTTTTCTTTGAACACCAAGAACTCTTTATTTTTACCATAAATGATACAGTACAATATAATGGTTTAGGGCTCAGGTCCCAGATCGCCTAAGCTAACCCCTGGGATGTGGCACATACTGTGTATCCTCAAGCATGTTCTATGCCTCAGTTTGCTCATCTATAAGATTTACTTAAACACAGCACTTACTTATGGGGGCATTAACAAAGATGAAATAAGTTAAGTATAGCCCCAAAATGTTTGGCATATGATAATAAATGTCAGTTAGTATTACTACAAAACCTGCATACCCAAAGCTCAACCATAACCATTTCTGATGTTAGATACATATAACTGAGTAAACAGGAGTAATGAAAATACAAATTAGGGCCCTTTTCTCCAGCATCAGTTATAGTGAATTATCTATAAAATTGTAAAATGGAATTTCCCCAGTAGAGTATATCAACTTAACATTAAGTGACTCAGAAAGTAATGTGAAGTTTGCTTACGTTTCATATCCATATTTCGGGTTTTATAAACAAAGTATGTGTAAATCTGTGTTGTGCGTATTAGAATCTGGTCTCCACTATAGCGTATTGAACGATACCACCAAGATCCCTGAAACACAAAATTAACAAGAAATAAAGCATGAAAACTAAATTGTTAAGTTTGATGCATATTAAGTTTATGGTCAAATCCTCTACATATTCATAAGCCAATAAAAATACCTGAGCTTTAGAAGAAATGCCTCCTTGTTACATATTTCAAATGATTTACTTAGATATTGTCTGAAGCCTAAACACCAACCTAAGTCACTGCATATATATGATTAAAACATTTACATTTTAAGTAAATGTTTTAAAAACAGGAATAAAACCACCCATTCTTATAAATAATAAGCTGGTTCCTAACACATAGCATGTCTTCAATAAATATTTGATAAATAAATATAATAGTAATTTTACAGTTGATATGACACTTTCATTCACATTTCACATAACTGGATCCTCATGACAATCCCAAGAAGGCAAAACAGCTTAATTATTGGGTTCATTATGGGACTCAAGAATTCCAGGATCAGAAAGAACACAATTCACAAAAGTAATAAATGGTAAAAATTACAAACTTTATGGTATCTCTATATTATGGTAGTACACATCACTGTTTTTTAAAGTGGAGAAACTCTGTATGTTTTATCCCCTAGTATATTAGGCCAAAAAGTCAAACAAACAGAATATACAGTAAAATCTCATTAAAGTTAAAAAAAGCATACATAAATATACAGAAAAAAATTTGAAAGAGAAAACACCAAATTTAGCAGTGATTATCTCTGAGAGAAATGGAATTGTGGGAGGTGATGCAGAAAGACTTTCCTCTTAAATTCTAAATATATCTATATTAACTCAGTTGTTTGTTACTGTGGGATTGGGAGGAAACACATTAAACACTCAAGTTATGTCACCTTTAGAAGACCTTTTAAAGTGTAGATTCTTAAATTCAGAGATCAATTGATTTATACTCTAACATAAATCAAAATCTTATAGGGAGATTCCAAAACATGTCAATTCTTTTTCCAAAAGATGTTAACAAAAAGAGCTAGAACTTACCACAACAACTGGAAGGATAACCATAAATGCCAATCCATACACAAGTAAAACCTAGAATTGCAGAGGAAAATATTATGGCCTTCATCAGGTAAGTAATAACAACATCCATAAACACTTAACTTTGAGGCATACAAAGGTAGAGCCACTATTAAAAGCATTCTTCATGTACTATCTTGTTTAATCCGTATTCTCAAACTCTATGAAGAAGGTACCATTATTTTCCCTTGGTAGGTAGGAAACCTGCAACACATACAATCTACATAGCTTGTCCAAGGTCACACTGCAAGTTAAGTGGTAGAGACAGAATTACGAACCTACGCTGTTCAGCTCTAGAGCATACCCTCATATCCATTATAATAATCTTTTAATCTGTTATTTACTGACACGATATAGATAACACCAGCAAAAGTTTTATAAATTACATTCCTCTTCCAGTCAGGTACTTATTTATCCACAAGTATATTAACCTGCAAGTATTTAGTGACTCGGAAATAAATGAAATAAGAAGCCCTGGGCTACACTGTTTCCTTTCCCCAAATATCAGGGAGCCACTGTGTAATGTTCTGTTTGCTAGTAATTCTCACCTATTGATTTTTCTCCTACTGCTTGGTCCTAAATCTGATAGTAACTAGCTCTTCTCTACTACTCTCACAGAAGTAACATGACAAATATGTTTATATGCAGCAACTATATACCCCTAAGGATAATCTATTTTAATCTGGTACAAAATAACATTTAATAGCCACTTTCAAAACAATTACATCAAATTATAGTCAGACTGCATGAATTCTGCTTTTATTGCTTCAAAGATAGCTCCTAGACAATTATTTTGAAGGAAGTTGAAGGAGGGAATTATATGTTCCTGAACAACAAGATGATTCCTGATGTTTTAGGGCTGCAACACCCATTGCTGTCTAAAGCTGATATTCCATCCACTACCTCCTGAAGTGCCATAGGAAATGTTTACAATTTAATTCATCATACACTAAAATTAGTTTAGCCTACGTAATGATGAAAGAAAAGATCATTTAAATTTTAAGTATTCCTTAGGAAAAACGGAGATACCATAAAAAACAATAGCTTCCCAAACCAAAGGTAAGATTCGATCTGAAACTACTTACTAAAGAAATCATCACAACTTGAAGGGTTTTTTTTTAAAATTTCAGAATATTAGAGGGTCATATTTTGTTTGCATACTTTGTTTTTGTACAGGTCGAGTCAAATAACTTTAAGGTTTTAAAACTACATTTAACCTAGCACTCTGGGAAGCCGAGGTGGGTGGACTGCTTGAGCTCAGCAGTTAAAGATCAGTCTGAGCAAGAAAGAGACTCCATCTCTAAAAAAACAACCAGGAGCAGGTGCCTGTCTTCTCAGCTACTTGGGAGGCTGAGGCAAGAGGATCACTTGAGCCTAAGAGTTTGAGGTTGCTGTGAGCTATGACACCATAGCACTCTACCCAGGGTGACAGAGTAAGGGATTCTGTCTCAAAAAACAAACAAACAAACAAAAAAAAAAATCTCCATTTGGAACACACTGTCCCCAAAGCAGCAGCCTAATAAGTTAAAAATAGCATACCAGTATTTTCTTTATAATAGTTCTCTTTAAATTACCAAGATACATGTACATAACACGAATTACACCAAATATGTTATCTCTCTTTTTTAAACATACTCACCAAAATTGAGTTTTTCTGGTCAACTATCCATGCTGGCAGGGCAATTCCAAAGCTTGTGGCTGAAACAGAAAGAACATTAGAGTTTCTGAAGTATCTACTTAGTTTTATTTATTTATATCTCCAAATCTCAACTCCCCCCAAAACTTTAAGATAACCTTGTTAGTGGACGCCCATTACACAAAAGTTAAGGGATATGGTATATATCCCAAATTTCAAATTTTTCAAGGGGGGGAAAAAAAGCCCTGTGGAATTCTTTCTTCCAGAAAACCTAAATTCTTTATGTGTCCTGAATTTATAAAAACAATACGGACATAGGGGGAAATGTGTGAAGTCAGTGAAGAAAAACAGATTTTTTTCCATCAAATTTTCATCAATAATTAAAAAATATTGGCTCGGCGCCTGTGGCTCAAGCGGCTAAGGCGACAGCCACATACACCTAAGGTGGCGGGTTTGAATCCCCAGCCTGGGCCCGCCAAGCAACAATGACGGCTGCAACCAAAAAATGGCCAGGCGTTGTGGTGGGCGCCTGTGGTCCCAGCTGCTTGGGAGGCTGAGGCAGGAGACTCGCTTGAGCCCAGGAGTCGGAGGTTGCTGTGAGCTGTGATGCCATGGCACTCTACCCAGGGAGATAGCTTGAGGCTCGATCTCAAAAAAAAAAAAATATTAATGATAGTAATTACTCTTTTCCCTGAATCAACCTAAGTTCTACCCTTCAAACTAGTTTAAAAAAAAAAGTAAAATTTAATGAATGGGGGTCAATTTACCTGTTTAAACTCCCTGTGGTTATTAATTTTCTATTCATAAATTAAGAAAATCAAACTATTCCTTTTACCTAAATTAACTTTTGCATAATATATACCATATCACCAATATTTTTAAATTGTCATTTACCACACCTTGAGGCCCATCTGGATTTCCAAATTCTTCCCAATTTTTCCGGGACTCTTCATCAGTTAAACTAGAATCAAAAAAACAAAATTGCAAAATTAGAAAGCCATATCTGAAGAGTAAGTACCCACACAGACTAACTACATTAACCAACCAATTCATTTCATAAAAGACAGTGGCTCAGGGAGTCAAGAAAAATCTCTCTGAAATCAGAAAAAAGATGGAAAGGAGGAACAAGAAACGCCACATTAACACAAAGTGCTAACCATTACGCCTGAATACAAAGTCCTAGTTGGCCCAGGTTTAGCCGGTTCAAACCAGATGAAATTTTAAAGGCCACTACATTTTCTGAGAAGGCAAGCAGGATTATAGGCGATTTTTATTATTTTCCTTGTACTCTCATGTATTTTCCAAACTTTCTTCAATAAGCATGTTTATACATTAATAATGATAAATACATATTTTTAATATAAATTTAATACAAAACACTAGCATCACTTTCTCAAAGAAACAAATGAACATCACCTGTAATACTCTAAAACTCTACCCATTGCTGTGGAAAAGGTCATTTGCATTATAATGAGATCACAATTTCTAGCTTCCTAACCCAGGCAATATAAAAGTGACAGAGTGATTTTTATTTATTATTATTATTACTTTTTTTTTAGAGGCAGAGTCTCACTTTCTCACTCTCAGTAGAGTACTGTAGTGTCACAGCTCACAGCAACCTCCAGCTCTTGGGCTTAGGCGATTCTCTTGCCTCAGCCTCCCAAATAGCTCGGACCAAAGGCGCTCACAACAACACCCAGCTATTTGTTTTGTTGCAGTTTGGCCGGGCCGGGTTTGAACCCACCACCCTTGGTATATGGGGCCAGTGCCCTACTCACTAAGCCACAGGCACCACCCGACAGAGTGATTTTTAAACACCTAAATGTAAATGTAATCCCTGGCTTGGACAATGGCTCAAGGCAAAGAGAGTAGTTTTATTCCAAGTTCCAGTGAAAATGTTAAAAACATTAAAAGAAATTCTGATTCCTTCAAAAATGTTACAATGTAGCAGGGCTCAATGGCTCACACCTGTAATCCCAGCTACTTGGGAGACTGAGGCCAGAGAATCGCTTAAGTCCAAGAGTTTGAGGTTGCTGTGAGCTGCAACACCACAGCACTCTACTGAGGGCAACAGAGTGAGACTCTGTCTCAAAAAAATAAAAATAAAACAAAAATTTTACAATGAGGCTAAGGAAGACAAAGCAGGAACTCCCGCCCCCCCCATATACACATACACAAAAGACCAATAATGTAAGAAGGCATTTTTGGACACCAAATGGCAAAAGATTCTCCTTATGTTTCCATCTAATGTTAGCCATATTTCGTTTCCCAAAACTTAAGAGATAACGTAATTTCTATTCAGCAAAACTCCAAGTAGGGACAGAAATACCTTCATAAAACAGCAAAAAGGGCATTCATTCATTCATCAGTTTTCAATTATTTGAAAATATTCTTGGCCAGACATGTTGGCTCACACCTATAATCCTAGCACTTTGGGAGGCTGATGCAGGAGGACTGCTTGAGCTCACAAGTTCAAGATCAGCCTGAGCCAGAGTGCGAACTCCCATTGCTACTAAAAATAGAAAGACTGAGGCAAGAGGATCACTTGAGCCCAAGAGATTGCTGTGAGCTACGACATCACAGCACTCTACCCAGGGTGACAGTGTGAGACTCTCAAAAAAGAAAAAAAAAAAGAATATTCTCTTGCCTCAGGCTCCCACGTAGCTGGGACTACAGGCGCCTGCCACAATGCCCAGCTATTCTTTGGTTGTAGTTGTCATTACTGTTTGGCGGGTCCAGGCTGGATTTGAACCTGCCAGCTCCTGTGTATGTGGTTGGCGCCAAAACCACTGTGCTATGGGTGCTGAACCAAGAAAATATTCTTCAACTTATCAATTCAGTCATTTACAAAAATGAGTGCGTTGGTGTCTTTAGTCCTTATTTAAACCTAGCTCCACTCACATCATTTGACCTAAGACCACAGAAAATATAGAAGGCAATGAACAGCATTACTAGAGGGGTTTGCAAATTAGTAAGCAATAGTGCTGAGATTTCTTTTCTAGCACTGAGGGAGGATGTTTCTCAAAAATATTTTGTCCTGATTTCTCTGTACAACTATTCACCCAACACAGAGCTTCAACCATTGTTTCTCTCCATGTTCTTTTAAACAGAGAGTTTTCACCCAAGTAGTTTCTCTGGCCCCCTCTCTCTGTGATTTATTATAGTACAAACTCCCTCTGTTCTCTATCCATGCTCTCAGAATTTGTAAAATAAAGCACAGCTCACATTATAGAAACACTGGTTTGGCAACCTGCATGTACACACGGTTATAATTACATTAACTCATTCATTAAACAGACTTGCACAATTGCTGTGTAACAGGAACCATATTACAGATTCAAACAAATTAAAGAAGTCATTAACTTTTTAAAAGTCATTTTAAGAAAGCAAATGATGTTTTGTTACTTATTAGTATTTCAGTAAAATAATATTCCAAAGAGTTAAAGTACTTAAAAGATATGGGACTTCAGTATAATTCATATACAACAAAGTTAAGATCAATGTTACAAATACAATTTTTAAAAATTCACTGAGTGTAATTTCCTAAACATGATTGAATTTCTTAACTTTTGGGAAATGAGAGAGAAGAGGATTATGAGCCTGTTAAAAATCTAATAAGGGCCAGGCTTCTGCCTATAATCCTACCACTCTGGGAGGCCAAGGTGGGAGGATCCCTTGAGCTCACCAGTTTGAGACCAGCGTGAGCAAGAGGCAGACTCCAGTCTCTATTAAAAATACAAAAACTTAACCAGGCACATGTCCCAGCTACTTGGGATGCTGAGGCAGGAGGATCAGCTGAGCCTGGGAGTTTGCGGTTGCTGTAAGCTAGGCTGATATCACAACACTATAGCCTGAGCAACAGAATGAGACTTTGTCTCAAAAAAAAAAAAAAAAATCTCGTGAAATCTATTTTTGCCCTTTGCTCTGGGAAAATTGCATTATTATAAAGAGACATAAATTCCATATACAATTTTAGGGACTCCACATTATAAATTCTGTCTTAAAGAATCCTTTCATTAAATTATATATGAGTGATCATGAGTTGGCTATGTAGAGTTAAGTTACATGTTATGTATAGGAACACATGAAAACACATGCTTTTACAAAAATTAAAATATCTTTAAGGTAATAACTATGCCACCCACATGCTATAAAGCAGCTTAAAGGCAGGAATTTACACCTGAAACCCAAATCTCAACTGTACCTAGACAGATGAACCAGAGCATTCAATGGTCTAACTCCTTACAAATAACCACATTTTCTCTCCTCTAAGTTAGAATCTGATAAAAAAAAAAAAAAGAGTAATGGCCCAGCTGGCATATTATAATAGGCAATTAAGGGGAGAGAAAATTCCTAAATAACCAAAGCAAATTCTAAAATGCATTATAGATAAAAGCCTACATAACCACATTCTACAGGTTGCTTTAGTTATACTGAGGCTGCTAGAGATATTCATAAGACAGCAACTTCAATTCAATCACTTAGAACTTGGATTTAATAAATAACACTTTTGTCTAATTTAGTTATACTCATGCAAGTTATAATATCTCAAAGTTATGGGTCCCAAAATCATTTCACTATTTCATTGGTCTTACAGAATCAATTATTTAAGACATGCTATATATAAAATATCCTACAGCTTGATCATGTATTTGAGTTAAAACTATTCTTTGCACTTTTAATAGTAAACAAACATAGAGTCCTAGCAACTTAACAACAAAAATCACAAACTCTCCTTGGGAGACTAAAGCAAGAGAATCGCTTAAGCCCAAGAGTTTGAGGTTGCTGTGAGCTATGATGCCACAGCACTCTACCCAGGGTGATACAGTGAGACTCTGTCTCAACAACAACAACAATAATGACAAACTTGAAAATGTTATTAGAACACTTACTTAAAAACTAAGGGGGAAAAAAGTCACCAAAAGCACTAAAAATTTAAGCTACTAATTAATCCTGACTATCTAACTTTCTCTGGAATCTGCTCTTCTTAAATTACCTAAGATAGCAAATAAGGGACATCAATGTTTGCCCAAAGAGAGTACATGCTTCAAGGAGACACACTGGAAAAAAAGAGAAAGACGACACCGATGGAAAGACGGCACCGATGGAAAGACGGCAATCTGGAGAATGTCTGCTATGCAGAAAATGTCACGCACACTTCAGAAGTCCTAATGGCATTGCTTTATTACAGAATCATATAGTAATTCACATACATAACTAATAAGCCACAAAAAAGGTGGAGAACAAAAACAGTCAATAATTTTATTAAGTACGAAATGAGTAAGGTAGTATTTCCCACAGTGTCATTCACACGCCACTTTCACAGTTTGCTATTATAATCCAGTATCCTATCACAGGTATGCCTTTTATTGCACCTGCAGATACGGTTTCTTACACATTGAAAGGGCAGTCAACCTGTGACAATCAAGTCTGTCAGCAATATTTTCCCAACAGCAAGTGCTTCCTTTGTTTCTGCCACATTTTGGTAATTCTCACACTGTCTGCAACCTTTTCATTATTTTTATGCCTGTTACTGTGATCTGAGATTTGTGATCTTTGATGTTTCTATTGTAATTGTTTTAGGGCACCATGAACTATACCCATTGAAGACACTAACTTAATTGATAAACATGTGTATTCTAACTGTTCTACCACCCAGCCAGTTCTCCATCTTTCCTCCTCTCTTTGGGTACCTTTATTCCTAAACACAATACTGAAATTAAGCCGATTAATATGTGGTAACCCCACAATGGCTTTTAAATGTTCAAGCGAAAAGAGTTCAAATGTGTCCCTTTCAATCAAAAGCAAGAAATCATTAAGTTTTTCAAGAGCCAAGACAGGCCCAAAGCTAGGCTGAGCCAAACAGTGAAGTTGTGAAAGCAAAGGAAAAGTTCTTGAAAGAAATTAAAAGTGCTAGTCCAGTGAACATATACATGATAAGAAAGCAAATCAGGGCGGTGCCTGTGGCTCAGTGGGTAGGGTGCTGGCCCCATATACCGAAGGTGGTGGGTTCAAATCCATCCCCGACCAAACCGCAACAAAAAAATAGCTGGGTGTTGTGGCAGGAGCCTGTAGTCCCAGCTACTCAGGAGGCTGAGGCAAGAGGATTGCCTAAGCCCAGGAATTGGTGTGTTGACACCACAGCACTCTACTGAGGGCAATAAAGGGAGACCCTGTCTCATTAAAAAAAAAAGCAAATCAGCTGTATTGCTGATCTGAAGAACGTTCCAGTGGTCTGGATAGATCAAACCAGCCACAACATTCCCTGAAGTCAAAATCTAACTTCACACCAAGTCCCTAACTCATTTCAATTCTATGAAAGCTAAGAAGTGAGGAAGCTGCAGAAGAAAAGTTTGAAGCTAGCACAGGCTGGTTCATGAGGTTTAATAAGGAAAGAAGCCATCTCCATAACATAAAAGTGCAAGGTGAAGCACCAAGTGCTGACAGAGAAGCTGTAGCAGGTTATCCAGAAGATCTAGCTAAGAGTGTTGATAAAGGTGGCTACACTAAGCAACAGATTTTCAGTGTAAGATGAAACAGCTTTATATTTGAAAAAGATGCCAACTAGGAATTCCACAGTTAGAGAGGAGAAGTCAACGTATGGCTTCAAGGCTTCAAAGGGCAGGCTGACCTTCTAGAAGCTGATGACTCTGAGTTGAAGCCAACACTCATTTGCCCCTCTAAATCCTAGGGCCCTTAAGAATTATGCTAAATCTAGCCTGCCTACACTCTATAAATGGAACAACAAATCCTGGATGACAGCACATCTATTTACAACATGATTTACTGACTATTTTAAACCCATAGTACTGCTCCAAAGAAAAGACTCCTTTTAAAAGATTACTACTCATTGAAAACACACCTGATCACCTAAGAGCTCTGATGGAAATGTACAAGGAGATCAATGTGCTTGTCATGCCTGCCAATATATGTCTGCAGTCCATAGATCAAAAAGTAACTTTACCTTTCAAGTTGTATTATTCAAGAAAATGTATTTTGTAAGGCTAGACAGTGATTCCTCTGGTGGATCTGGGCAAAGTAAATGCAAACCTTCTGGAAAGGATTCACCATTCTATGAGATATTCTGAACTCCTCCCATGAATCATGAATGTTCTTAATGAATACTTAAAGAGTACAAAAAATACTCATGATTCACAGGAGTTGTTCAAAATATCAACATTAAACGAGGCACAGCGGCTCATGCTCATTACCCCAGAATTTTTCAAGTCCAAGGCAGGAGTTCAAGACCAGCCTAGTCAACATAGCTAGACCCCACTTCTACCAAAAAATATATATATTTTTAATTAGCCAGGTGTGGTGGTGTGTGCCTATAGTCTTAGCTACTCAGGAGGTTGACAGAGGAGGATCCCTTGAACCCAGTGAGCTATGATTGGCTGCTGGATTCCTGCCTGGGTAACAGAGTAAGATCCTATCTCTGAAAAAACACAACATCAATACTACAGAAGTTTCTGAGGGTTGAGACTTCAGCAAAGAAGTCCCTGCAGAAGTGGGAGAAATAACAAGAGAACTATACTTAGAAGTAGAGCCTGAAGATGGGACTGAATTGCTGCAATCTCATGATCAAACTGGGAACAGATAATGAGTTGCTTCTTGTGGATGAACAAAGAAAGTGGTTTCTTAAGATGGAACCTATTCCTGGTAAAGATGCTGTAAACACTGTTGAAAGAACAACAAAAGATTTAGAATATACCATAAGCCTAACTGATAAAGTAGTTGCAGGGGTTTTGAGAGGATTGACTCTAATTTTGAAAGAAGTTCTACTGTGAGTAAAATGCTTTCAAACAGTATTGCATGTTGCACAGAAAACTTCAATGAAAGGAAGAGTCAATTGATCCAATGTCAATCAGAGTCAATATCAATGTTGTCTTATTTTTTAAAATTGTCACAGTCCCCCTAATCTTCAGCAATCACCACCTTGATCTCTCAGCAGCCAACAACACTGAGGCAAGACTCTTCATCAGTAGAAAGATTTTAACTTGTTGAAGGCCCAGGGAATTAAAATGTTTTAGCAAGTATTTTTTTAATTAAGATTATGTGCACCTTTTTTTACGATATAATGCCATTGCACCTTAGTAGATGACAGTATGATATAAACATAACTTTTATACGCACTGGGAAATAAAAGCAATTTGTGTGACTTGCTTTATCATATTTGCTTTACTATAGTAGTCTGGAACAGAATATGCAGTATGTCTCAGGTATGCCTCTCTTTAGTTGCATTAATTTTTTTTAATAAGCTCACAAAATTATACATTACTGAGTCATCAAAAAATAGTCATATATTTTACTTACTCATTCAAAATAAGAGCTGTGCGGGGATGCACCTATCTTAAGTCCTAAAGAATCCAGCTTATTTTTATCTCTTATAATGTTAATATCCAAGAAGTAATGAATTCCAATTTTATATAATCTATTCTGTTTCCCAAAAAAGTATGACAAATGTTCCTCAAAGTTTATAAATGCAAGATATGTCTGTGCATTAATGGATGCGTGAAAATATATGTACCTCAACAAATAAATTCACCTATGTTTACATCCAAACCAACAAGGAAAATCAGCCAAGTTCTGAAAATACTTGAAGAAAGTTTCTGATCATTAAAATAGGAGACCTTAATCTACAATGCAATAATAATAGTAATTAACAATATATTAGCAATAATCTGGTATAAAGAAATTCTAAAAAGAAAAAGATGCCAAAAATGAAGAACTTAAAAGTGAAAATTAAACTTGTCTTTAAGTAGCTAAAGGAGAAAACCTAAAGGGCTGAGGCCTTAGGAAGGTTAAGAACCACTGACCTATATGGACGAATAGGAAAAATAGACTGAACCTAATTTAAAAAACCTATAGATAAAAACAAGGTCTAAGTGTAAGCTCTTGTAATCAGGATGCTAATAAAAGAGCTCAATTAGGCTCAGGGCCTGTTGCTCAAATGGCTAGGGCACCAGCCACATAAACTGGAGCTGGTGGGTTCGAATCCAGCCCAGGCTTGCCAAACAATAATGACAACCCAAACCAATATAGCTTGGTGTTGTGGCAGTCACCTGTAGTCCCAGCCACTTAGGAGGCTGAGGCAAGAGAATCGCTTAAGCCCAAAAGTTGGAGGTTGCTGTGAGCTGTAACGCCACAGCACTCCACCCAGGGCGATAGCTTGAGACTCAGTCTCCAAAAAAAAAAAGCTCATTAACTTATAACTCACTACTTAAATTAATCAAATTCATTCACTCATGTCAATTCTTTGACTTAGAAATGAAGGTTTAATTAAATTACCACTGTAGGGCTGGGGGGTAGTTCCATAAATGTTAAGACTAAAAATATCGGGGCGGCACCTGTTGCTCAAGGAGTAGGGTGCCGGCCCCATATACCAGAGGTGGTGGGTTCAAATCTGACCCTGGCCAAAAACTGCAAAAAAAAAAAAAAAAAAAGACTCAAACTATCAGTTCAGCACTTAATAAAAGTATATGACAACTATTTTACTAGTTTATTAAAATAGAAGACCACCTTTACCACTCTTAAGAATCTACAGTGGGTCCTACGATACTTACGCTGCATAAGCTTTGGCTATTCTCATGAACATAACTTCATCACCTCCTTTATCTGGATGATATTTAAGTGACAGCAAACGATACTGTTTCTTAATTTCTGCTACTGTTGCCCCCTAAAAGAAAAACTTTGTATTAGTAAAAATAAGCTCAATTCTATAAAGAAATAATCCGTTCTACTTTGATCTTAAAACATGAACTACTTAGAATTTCAAGAAAAATGAAGTTTTCATCCTGTTACTTTCTCCCATAAACTTCATCCCATATATTTTAATTAATATACCATTATGTCTAATACCTGTATTTTATTCAGCACCTATTATGTGCAGTACACTAGGCACCGAAGATTTGAAAGTGAAACCACATAATGCTACATTTCAATAAAAGAATACTGACATTTAAAATATCAAAAAATAATCACAATAAATTAAGTCTGGCTCAAAGAACCCTCAAATCAAAGGTTAACTTTCCAAAGAATAAGCTGAGGAATACCTGGTTTCAGCTGCTTGTCTGTTTTAATTATTTGTTTATTTTTTTTGGGGGGGGGGGAGACAGAGTCTTACTATATGGTCCTCGGTAGAGTACTGTGGCATCACAGCTCACAGCACCTCAAACCCTTGGGCTTAAGCAATTCTCTTGCCTCAGCCTCTCAAGTAGCTGGGACTACAGGTGCCTGCCACAATGCCCAACTATTTTTTTGTTGCAGTTGTCACCGCTGTTTAGCAGGCCCCAGCCAGATTCAAACCCCCCTGCCTCAGCGTATGTGGCCAGCACCCTAACCACAGAGCTACGGGTGCTGAGCCGCTTGTCTATTTTAATATTAAGTAAACATTTAGTAAGTTCACCTTGTTTCTTAATTAGTTTCAATTTCTAATTTTTTTTTAATCAGGCAGCTCCAGTTCAAAAAGACTTTCCATTTCTATTAATAAGTTTTATACTGCTTTTTAATCTTAGAAAATCTCTCAATAACCATGACCATCACAGTAAGAAAAATTACATAATATGCCAACTTTCTTATACAAAGCAGAAAAACCAGCTGATAAAAACTCTCCCTACTTTATATTACATGAACCTATGGATCAAGCCATCTACTGAGCAGAGACTCAAAGAAAGTATCTGGGGAGGGCAGGAACAAAAAGAGCACTAGATTCAGCTTGGCTAATGACAAACTTGGGGCTCTACACAAGATACAAATTTTGTAGGCTTCATTTCCTCTTATTAAGAAAAAAAAAAAACCTATACTCCTTGATCCAAAAAAAAAAAGCCTAGACAATCTCTACCACTAAGACTAATATTCTACTGTGACCCATTAAATAAATTCAATCAGGAGATGGCCTCAGGGGCACACTCAAGGTTAACCTCAAATTCTGTGACCATGACACTAATTCTTCATATAGCCCCCAACCTAGATATAACACACAGCTTTTTTTTGCCCTTGAAAGCAATCTCACTCTGTCAAGCAGGGTGAAGTGCAGTGGTATAATCATAGCTTACTGCAGCCTCAAACTCTCAAGCTCTAATGATCCTCCTGCTTGACCCTCCCAAATAGTTGGAACTATAGGTCATGGCACACCTGCGTGGCTTTTTTCATTTTTAAAAAAAAGACACAGTCTTGCTATGTTGCAGAGGCTGATCTCAAACTCTTGGCCTCAAGTGATCCTTGCACCTCAGCCTCTGAAGTTGCTGAGTCTGTAGGCATGAGCCACTGCACACAGCCCAATTCTTAACAACATAGCAATAAACAGCTGTTGCTTAAAAACATATACATTGGAATGATAATGGATTAGATATCTTACTTTAATAAAAATTTAACTGACCAAAGTCTTATTTCTTTGGCATGTCACTATTTTTTTAGGATGTGGACCTATAATATTTTCATGGGATCATTAAGCCAATGTGCATCATGTAAACATACTACTTACAGGATCCAAATTTAATACTTCGTAAGGATTGTATTCTTGATATTCTCGGTCTGTTTTGGAAACCTTGTACGCAAGGAATAAGAACAACGCCCATCCTGCAAGCAGAACTATTTTCCTGTTTAGGAAAAAGATAAGTGAATTATAAATAAATACATCTAAACGTCTTTCCTTTAAAAGTCTAAAGATACTATGGAAAGATCAAAGAATATAATAATCTAAGATAGATCTTTATCACTATGCTACTGGCTCAAATTCTACAAGCACCACATGTAAACTCGTGTCCCAGCCAGGACACTGTCTCTTCACCGTTGAATTCTCTAGAATCTAGTACAATGCCTTGCGTGTAACAGATGTTCTCATTTACTACATATTTACAGAATTTTAAATACAGAACTAAATTCAACTTATTAGAGCCACTAAATTACATCAAAATATATAAATAGTAAATATTCAGTAAACATTTAATGTAAAAGAGAATAGCTTTGACCTAGTAATTACACTTTGATAGCTTCAATAAACCAATAAAAATAACTGGTCATTGGGCAAAGATGAATAAATAGCCTTGTTTATAAAAACTGTAAAATCTAAATGTCTAGGTATAAGGAACTAATTAAATAAACTATTTATAGAGGACTAATTAAATAAACTGTGATACAGCCACATAATGCAACATTTTATAGCTAATACAGATACAGAAAGATGTGTATAATAGGTTAAGAAAAGATAAAAGAACATATAATTTGAAAACTAATTTATTTTCCCCCAATATGTTCTGTAGAGTAAAAATATTTAAAAGATGGAAACTACTGGTGTTGGAGAGGCTAAAGAAAAAAGAAAATATCTCCTACATTATGCACTCTGGTGTAGTTCATAAAAAGCCCTAAAGAAATACATAACCCTTTTTCTTCAATACATGCCATTTAAAATAATTTAGAAAGAAAGAAATTAGAATTAAGTATATAAAGTTTAAAAGAGTAGCAGAGATGTAATAGCCAAAAAATAAACATCTTAAATATCCATCAATAGATTATTGGACAAATAAACTAACAGTATACCCACACAGTGAAATACTCTCTCACCACTAAAAATATTTGTTATGAATAATTGTCTACCTTGTACTGTTAAATTTATAAAAATTTACAAAGTAAATATATACATACAAAATTGTATGTATATAATAAAGCCTATTTTTGTAAGTGTAAAAAGTATGTAAAGTAACCAACTATGCTAGCTTTAGGTGATGAAATTGAATGGTTTTTTTAATACCCTTTGTATGACCATTTGTTATGTTGAGCAGGAACAGTTAAGACGAAGACATAAAATGAATCATAGGTCAAATGAAACAAAATTGAAGTCATCTGTTTTTAAAAAATAAAAAACTTTCCCATATGGATTAAGCTCTAAGATCTAGTTCCAACCTATCTACTTATTTTTACCACCTGACTTTTCAAACAAAACAAATCCTTCACTCCCAATGTTTCCTAAGCTTTTCCTAACATTCCCATTCTTCACACCTTTATGCAACTCTGAAGGAGTATCTCGCAAAAAGCTCTAAAGAAGTACATGACCCCCTTTCTGCCAATACTAACTCTATTTATCTTTCAAGACTCAAACAATATATCCTCCATAAAGCAATCCTTAACCTGCCAAGATGATCCTTTCATCAGAAGGAAATGGTTATAGCCACAAAGAAGCACAAATCACGACTTTTCTCCTCTGACTCACCCTAAGTTCCTTGATCTCACGGACAGATCTCAGTTTTGACTAACCCTGGAGTCGTTTACACAGTTGACACTCAGATAAATTTCTTTCCACTTGACCAAAATAATACTCTAACTCTTATTAAAGGCCTATAACATCAAGCTGCTTTCTATAGCACTTATGTGACCATCTCTGACCACAGAAGAGAGAGATCCTTTCATGGAACACTTCCCCCACTTTTACCTGGCTGTCTAGTGAGAGGTAGTTGAGAACACAGGATCCAGAACAAAACTACTTGAGTTCAACTCCCAGCTTCCCTACTCACCGCTTATTAACTGAAGAGACTTTGACATATATTCCTTTTTATGTTTTATTATTTTTTTAAAGAAACAGGGTCATAAGCGCACTACAACCTCAAACTTCTGGGCTGAGATAAGTAGCTAGGACTACAGACACACACTACCATGCCCAGCTAATTTTTTAATAGAGATTAGGGTCTCACTATGTTGCTCAGGCTGGTCTTGAACTCCTGAGCTCAAGCAATCCTCCTGCCTCAGTGACAGTATTTCAGCCATAAGCCACCACACCTGGCAAGTTGCTTAACCTTTTATACCTCCAACTTTCATTTCAGTATGGATTTGAGAATTAATAAATGAGGTTAGGTAAATAAAATATTTACAAAGTGCCTAACAGATACTAAACAATTAATACACTTGAGTTATGTGCTGTATTAGAAATGCTTACCCAAATTTCAGCTCCTAGCTTCAATCTTACTCAAGAAAGCCTTTTCTGTCTTGGGCCAGTGAGGAGACCTTGGACCTTGTAAGGGCTGACACCCCTCTTTCAGCCCTTACAAACTCTATTATCATTACCTGTTTACTTGCCAGTATTCCCCCAAACTGTAAGTCACTGAGTCATATATATTTTGTTAAGTATATCCAACATCTAGTAATGATGTCTGACACACAGTAAGCACACAATAACTACTTGTTGAATAAATAATGAAGATAACTTATAACAGCAAATGCTTAACTCAAACCCAGGGTTTCTCAATATGCTAAAACAATTTTTTTAAACTTGAAAATATCCTTTATTCCACATTGTTTTGTTGACTCCTTCAAAAAACAAACAAGCTCACAAAACAAAGAAAAAATACAACTGAAGGACAGCACGATGTCTTAAGCCTGTAATCCTAGCACTCTGGGAGGCCTAGGTGGGTAGATTGCCTGAGCTCATGGGTTCGAGACCAGCATGAGCAAGAGCGAGACCTCATCTCTAAAAATAGCCTGGTGTTGGGGCAGGAGCCTATAGTCCCTATCTACTCTGGAGGCTGGGGCAAGAGGATCGTTTAAGTCCAAGAGTTTGAGGTTGCTGGGAGCTATGACAACACCACAGCACTCTACCAAGGGCAACAAAGTGAGACTTTGTCTCTAAAAAAAAAAAAAATATGCAACTGAAAACCACAAAACCAAGATTTAAAACCAAACAAGGGAAAGGGAACAGAACACCTAGGATCTGCCAGAGTCTAGCAGCTAGACCCTAACATCTGATGCTTTATATGGAGATGAAAATTACCACAACCAATAAAACTACACTCTAGTTTTCCGAGAGGAAAAGCAAAGTTGGAAACATAATATTCCATCATGCTCTGTGCTCTCCTTTTTAAAAGCATATTTGGTTCCTCCAAAAAGATAAGCATTTTCTCTGCACATAGCTTCAATACTTGACTTGTGAAGACTTCCATTTTTTCTTTAAATACATTTTAAATGTCATTTTGGAAGCAACGTCTAGAAACTATACACCTTCATTTCAGGGATGCTGTCAGAAAAGAAGCATTACACAACTGACCAACTGACCCACCGACCAATTGTTTTGAAAGAATACTTCAAGATTAGGTAGCAAAAAAACTGTAATGGCTTCAAATGACCTTATCTAAATTGTTCTCAGTATCTACTTAATCTTTCTTTCTTTTTTTTTTTCCTTTTTTTTGGCTGGAGCCAAGTTTGAACCCATCACCTCTGGTATATGGAGATGGCATCCTACTCCTTTGAGTCACAGACGCCGCCCTACTTAATCTTTCTAAAACATCCCTTAATCTATATTTTAAGTAAATCAGTTTATTAACCACTGAAAAGTACTTTGTAAAGGTTTTGTTTTTCTTAAAAACTGGAATAGCTCAGCATTAAACAAAGCTAGAAAAAAAAAAAAAAAAAGACTGGGAGACTAAAAATGCAGTTGTCCTTCAGTATCCATAGGGGGTTGGTCCCGGGACCCTACAGATTCCAAAATGTACAGATGCTTAAGTCCCAATACAAAACGGTGTAGTAATTGCTTATTTTCCTGTATACTTTAATCATCTAGATAACTCACAATACCTAGAACAATGTAAATGCTATGTAAACAATCGTTACACTGTATTTTTAAATTTATATTATTGTTTATCACTATATTGTTTTTCCCCCAAAGTATTTTTGATCCATAGTTCGTTGAATCTGCCCAGGCAATACCCATGGATACCGAGTAGAGATTATATTTGTCCTGCTATTTAATGAAAGTTTAATTTAAAATGAGAACCAACAACAAAGAATAAACAGTGAATATAAAACTACTCTCATCCCAACTAACTTTGCCTTTAGTTTCATGTTATTAAAGAACTCCTGACACCAAACCTAAATAAACTTCCCCTCTCCCTACAAAGGAACTACCTAGGCAAAGTCCAACCTCACAAATAAAAACTATTTAAATGCCCTGAAATCACAGAGATATGCTGAAAACTATCATCATTTAAACTAATACTTAAAAATAACTGGCTCTCCTTTCCTTTGCTAGGTCCTCTCTTCCTATCTACTCAATAGATAAATGTAGGTAATTCACAAGATATAGTCATCCAATAATGGCAATGCTCTCACTTCCTATCAGTTTCATCTTTTACCTCTAAATTTGTGGCTTCAGGTAAATGAAGGTCCAAAGCCTCCTAACCAGCCCGCTCCACAGCCTCACCAAATCAAACAGGCTTGCCCGCTCCCATTTAACACACTAACGGCCTCTTGAAGCAGACAAGCCTGCCAAAATAAAGGATGCCCAGGCAGCTACTCCACCACTTCTAGCCACATGACCTTAGTCAAATTATACCTCATTGCCTTTGCCTCAGTTTCCTCATCTGAGAAAAAGCAAAAACATCTACTGTGAAGTTAACATAAAATCAGATAACATATAAACCCTTACAACCTGGTAAGCAGTATGTGTTACTTCCAATTTATCATATGTGCTGCCGAAGCCAGCACAGCAATCTGTCTTCAATAAGCTTTAAGTTATCACCACAATTACAAACCCGACCCCAGGTGACCTCTTTTGAAATCTTTTATAGATTCCTTAATGCTGGGTTTTTTCAATTTTGTTTTTTTGAGACAGAGCCTCCCTCTGTTAGCCCAGGCTAGAGTACTGTGGCATCAACCCAACTCATAGTAACTTTAAACTCCTGGGTTCAAGTGATCCTCCTGCCTCAGCCTGGCAAGTACCACAGGTGCCTGCTACAATGCCCAGCTAATTTTTATATTTTTAATAGAGATTGTGCTACTCCTGCTCAGGCTGGTCTAGAACTCCTGAGCTCAAGGGATCCTTCCGCCATGGCCCCCCAGAATTCTAGGATTACAGGCATGAGAGCCACTTGATGTCAGATTCCCCACTACTCTTTTTTTTTTTTTTTTTTAATCTTTGAGGCAGAGTGCCACAGCATCACCATACCTCACAGCAACCTCAAACTCTTGGGCTCAAGAGATCCTCTTGCCCTCTTGCCTCAACCTCCAGAGTAGCTGGGACTATAGGTACCTACCCTAACACCCAGCTAGAGATTCCCCAGGTCCCTTTTAGATAAAACTTAAATTCCGACACAAGGTGCACAAGGTCTTCCTTCATGATTTGACCAATCGCTCTCCTCCTTCTCCCACTCTGAAGTACACCCTCCCTCCTTTGAATTTCTAAACCACTCTGTTCAGAAAGCTCTCAAATTTACTAATTATTTCTTCTACTACACACAGGCTACAATCTCTGTATACACGCAACATCTTTTTCATTTTACCCAAATTCTGTATGACATCTAGCAAAGAGTAAGCACTAAGTATGTTTTTTTATTGAAATTCATTACTTACTTTACTGTAGGAATAATATTTGGCTGGGGTTTTAATAACCGTAAACGATACCACATACATCTTCCATATACTTTTCTGATATTCTTTAATCGAATTTGCTCTGTCAAGAAAGAAAAATAACATGAATTAAACCATTTTTCACAATAAAGGTAAAACCATTTAATATCATAATCATCTTCATTAGCATGCTAATATTTTATTAGAACATAAAAGTACTGCCTATTCAAATAACCTTTAAAAAAAATTTACAAGATAGGTTAAATTTTCTGTCATTTAGAACAAATGCCCTGTATGGAAAACTTCATTTTTCAGGTGACTTAACTCACTGAAAATATAAAAACCTGACTTGTACCCAAAAAGTCACATATAATCAGTAATTTCTGAGAAATTCTCTTCCCCTTTCCTTCTGCTACAGAAGAAACAAAAAGCAAAAACAGTTAAAATATGGTTTATTAAGGAAGCTAAGCAAAAATGATATTCTTCAAACATGAAACTACTGTATTTTAGGTTAAAATGGAAAAGTCTCCCAAACCCATAAGAACCTCAGACAAGTTTACCTAAGAGTTGTGACAAAGCTATTATTTTAGTTCCCAAGAAAAATTTGCAGTTCAATTAAAAAGAAATTTAAACAAAGCCAAAATAATACACATTGCTTTATTAAATTCACCACAATCACTTGGTTTCAATATCCCAAGTTAAAAAAAAAAATTAAATTTAAAATTTAAAATTTAAGTTTTAAAGTAAAAACCTACCTTTCCAAGAACATAACATCAAAAGCAAAGTAGGAAACCCCTGCTGATCCCAAAGCCAAAAGTGCAAGCAAAAGCTTTGAAAGCCAATAAGGCAATGGTAAAAGGCATTCACAATCACACACACACAAATAACCAAAAATTACAACAAAAAACCTGCATGTCATCCACCTGGTAGTTGCCCAAGACAAGGTAGCCCTGAAGGTCACTCAACTATCCTAGGGAGAATGACCCCAGGAAAAACAAAGCCCTATCATTATACCATCACTTCATTAAGTTCTTCCACTACTGAGTGGGCCATCAAGAAGAATACAGCATACATTTGACTGACTCCTGACTATGTTTTGAATGTTGCCAACAAAACTGCGATCATCTAAACTGAGTCCAACTGGCTAATTCTAAATATAAATATTTTCAGCATATTAAAAAAAAATCTATAAACGACACGTCAGGTAAGTAAAAGGATTAGACACATTATAGAATGTTCCAAAGCCACCATATAAGAAATCCAACCACCCTGTTACCACAATGGTTTCTTTTTTTTTT